GTGGGTGAACCGCAACGGCTCCCTTCCTTCACCATCGTCAAAACGCAACATAGAGCATTATTAGTTTTTATTACATTCTCGTTCCATGATTCATGATATTACCCGGATTCTTTTAAAAACAATCACTGTGTGTTCCCTATCTACATGATGGCAGTTCGTTACTGTGTGTTCCCTATCTACATGATGGCAGTTCGTTACTGTGTGTTCCCTATCTACATGATGGCAGTTCGTTACTGTGTGTTCCCTATCTACATGATGGCAGTTCGTTACTGTGTGTTCCCTATCTACATGATGGCAGTTCGTTACTGTGTGTTCCCTATCTACATGATGGCAGTTCGTTACTGTGTGTTCCCTATCTACATGATGGCAGTTCGTTACTGTGTGTTCCCTATCTACATGATGGCAGTTCGTTACTGTGTGTTCCCTATCTACATGATGGCAGTTCGTTACTGTGTGTTCCCTATCTACATGATGGCAGTTCGTTACTGTGTGTTCCCTATCTACATGATGGCAGTTCGTTACTGTGTGTTCCCTATCTACATGATGGCAGTTCGTTACTGTGTGTTCCCTATCTACATGATGGCAGTTCGTTACTGTGTGTTCCCTATCTACATGATGGCAGTTCGTTACTGTGTGTTCCCTATCTACATGATGGCAGTTCGTTACTGTGTGTTCCCTATCTACATGATGGCAGTTCGTTACTGTGTGTTCCCTATCTACATGATGGCAGTTCGTTACTGTGTGTTCCCTATCTACATGATGGCAGTTCAATCACTGTGTGTTCCCTATCTACATGATGGCAGTTCGTTAGGTAACAATCACTGTGTGTTCCCTATCTACATGATGGCAGTTCGTTACTGTGTGTTCCCTATCTACATGATGGCAGTTCGTTACTGTGTGTTCCCTATCTACATGATGGCAGTTCGTTACTGTGTGTTCCCTATCTACATGATGGCAGTTCGTTACTGTGTGTTCCCTATCTACATGATGGCAGTTCGTTACTGTGTGTTCCCTATCTACATGATGGCAGTTCGTTACTGTGTGTTCCCTATCTACATGATGGCAGTTCGTTAGGTAATCTTGACACTTTCTACTCGTATACGCGGTGACTTAAGAAAACGGAAGGCTGAGCCTCCAGATCGGCCAGAAACGTTCTCTGTGAGTCTAACCGAAGTCTCGGCGAGTGTACAAAAGGTAAATCTATCATTTGTACTTCATAACGGAAGTGTGCACAAGACGCGCACGCACGCACGCGCACACACACACAAACACTGTACAATTACAAGCACATGTGCTCATACATACCCCCCTCCCCCCCCCCCCCCCACACACACACACACTCAACTCCCCACCCCCTGACAGACAGACACACATGTTTATGCTTCCTTTGCCACCAGTTTCGGATAGGCTCAACCAGGAGTTGTAAAATATTGGTATGTTACGACTCCCTGCCCTCAAGACCAGCACAGCGCCGTGGATCGAGCAGATCCGGCCGCGCCGGCCTAGCGTGGTTCACTTTCTGGCCGAGTCAAACACCGCCCGCGTGTGCGCATCCCGTGTCCCCTCCCAGGCTTTTACGACTCCCTGGTTGGAACCAGCATGGCTGTCCCGCATGATCATGTAATAGACATGGAGCCACTCTGAAAGCATTTTCGCTGTGATACGGAAAAGGCGTACCGTAGGGCGTACGGAAACATTACTTCCTGATTGCAGACAAGTGGAAGTGGAAATTTGGAAATGATCCCACTTATGGGTAGTAAGTGGGTGAGTGGTTACATACATACACACACACACACACACACGCCTTGACCTTGAACCTTGAACGTGCCCATTGCCGATGGCAATGATAGCGAAGGGACTATCTGCTAGCTTCGCAGTACGGAGCGTGGCGCTTGAGATCCCCGGGATGACGGCAGACCTTTCCACATGCACAGCGGAAGCCAGAGTCAGGATCAGGGGGAGCACAGGCAGGAAGACGACGGCGAGCAATCTGCCTCCAGGCAGAGCGATCTTGGGCAGCAGCAATCCAGCAGTCAGAAGGCACAGGGAGCTGATGGAGCGGAGATCATCCACGATGACATCACGCCACTGCTTGCGTGGACCATGGCGAGGATGCGTTGCAGGGAGCTCCCCGAACAAAACTTGCTTCGGCATACGGTCGTCGGTCATCCGGCCAAAGTGCCCAAGCCAACGCAGTCGATACTCTCGTATGATGTCCACGGCATCACAGTCAATGCCGAGGGTTCTGGCCATGGTAATGGAGGTGACGTGGTTGTCACGCGTCACACACACGCACACACACACACGCACACACACACACACACATGCACACACACACACTTTCTGGCCAGTGAATCCCTATTTTTCATTTTTCCATTTTTTTCATTCATTTTTTTCTTTTCCGACACACACACCACATACTCCGGCATACACTGGCTGTTGGTAACCACCCAGGAGAATGAAAGAAGAGCTAGGAGGTTGAGAAAGAGAAGAAAGCACACACACACTCAGACTCAGACATGCCCATCGCGGAAGCGATGATAGCGAACTGTTAGACATAGCAACTTCCGCTGGGATTACACCATTCAACAGCTTGCAAGGCTGACGAATTGGCCGCCACTAATTTTAGCCTGGCATCCACCACACAGCTGATTGAAGTGGCTTTTTCTGGCCAGTAAATCCCTATTTTTCATTTTTTTCATTCTTTTTTAGTTTTTCACACACACACACACACACACGCGCGCGCGCGCACACACACACACACACACACACACACACATGCACACACACACACACACACACACACACACACACACACACACACACACACACACACAGACACACACATAGTTTATACATGAGAACAGAGGTGTCCAAAGGGAGAACACATGATCATCACTTACCATTCACCTGGCTGAGAGCGTCAGAAAACACATAGCTGTGAAACGTGTCATTAGCAGCCAGGGCCCAACCAAGTGCAACAAGAGTGGAGCTTTGATTAGGCAACGACATGCGAGCATGGATCGTGTTGAGCACTGCCTGTACTTGAGCAGAATCCAGTGGAATGCGGCCGATGGCAGACAGAGAGAGGACCGTATCCAGCACAAAGGCTAACTCCTGGTCGGGAATGCTGTCAAGATGACGAACGCAGTAATCAACGATGTTGCGGTACAGGTCAGCCGAGAACAGTCGTTGCTTCAACAGCTCAGCAGCAACAGAGCATGCCTCTTCGGGCACAACGGTTAGCACGAACGAATTCAGCCGCTGAAAGAGACTACGTACTGCCGAGGGGCCAAGCTGGTGAATGTGCATCAGTGGTAGCTCGTCAATACTCATTTCAGGCACTCGCTGCATAAGAGCGTGAGTAGCTCGATCACGGCGCGCTGCTGTCATCCACTGCCAGTTCGTGCACAGCAACATCACCACGTTAGGCAAGTCGGTAACAAAAGAGAGCTCGATTACGTCCATTAGCAACTGAGCAATAGGCTCTGTCATCTGCTCTGGCACGGAGAATCTTGGTCTTTGAAGCATTCGGTGCAGGAGGCATGAGATGCCATCGTTGGATGCCTTGATCTTGGCAAGAATTTCCAAAGGTAGATCCCCAGAATCAGCCACCTTGGCCAGCAGCAGCTCTACATGTGTTGCCTGTGGCATGGTCTCCACTGGGAAGCGGGCGAGTAGATCTGATGAAATCCACTCAGCTAGCCCACCCTTGGCCAGACTTAGCAGTTCGGTAGCCAACTCCACGCCAGCATTAGGCAATTGATGACGTGCGACCGTCTCGAACAGCTCTGGACACGTTTGCTGCATCATTCGCATCACATGGATATTGGAGTCCAACCACTGCTCCTCGGAGTGGAGCTTGAATGTACGCGCTGCAACTCCGGAGTCGACAATTTGCGGGTACGTACCCACAATAGAGTTGAATACGGGAGCGGATCGCTGCAAGACTTTGTGCAAATTTGATGAAAACCTACTGAACGTTACTTCATAGAGCCAGGACAACTCAGAATTGCGAACGTACTGGAGCAGTCCAAGAATATGCTCTGGCTGACTGCCTTCGGATTCTATGCGCTTTAGTACCATGCCGTGGAATAGCTTCTTCTCTGGTGAACCAGGGAAGGCTACAATCTGTTGTAGAACCCGTATAGCATCTAGAACACTCCATTCTGACCGGATCCCGTCCATCACGCTTTGCCAAATTACTTTGCCGAAAGCACTATCTGGACTGGGCTTTCGCGAGTGGGCCCACCAGCTTAGCAGGTGTTCCATTTGCTGAGCATCACTGTGGTCTTTTAGGTGCATCTCAATCTGCTTTTCCATCTGCTTCAATTCTCCCTCTTCACTAGATGCGTCCCGTGAGTTTCCCATCTTCAGTTTATACTGTAGCAAGCCCACGCAGGCCACCGCGGTGACAAGTGATTCCGACAGCATCTGCTTGAAATCATCCACGATGCCAGCCTCTGCTGAAAATGGCATGGGGGCGTTCAGATAGATGGCAGTGGACAAGATGATGGCACATGACTGGTTGTAGAAGTATGGACTAGAATCCTTCAGTTGCAGGACTAGAGGAGCCAAACGACACATTTCCTCATGGACGTATAAGTTGTCAATTTTTCGAAGATTCCCGCATGCTCTCAGGACTGCTTCTGGAGTACAGTCTTCCAGTGTGCGCTTCTTGGAGGCTTTTATTTCCTCATCACTGGGCCAATGTGAGTGCAGTATTGAGTGCGGGAGAGCAGTGGTGGCACAAGCACGAAGGCTTCCAGTGGCAGGGAAATAAGTCTTCTGCAATACTCCCCGCCTGAATAATCGATCAGCAAGCTTCACCAGCGCCATGGCAGTTCGAAGCAATGCTCTCACCAAGAACAATACGTACGATTGCCAATAGAGAGCGCCAGGGAAAACAACACTCCTCCTGTTAGAAGGAAAAATAAATACAACCACAATTGGATTGTACAATCAATAAAAATTAATAAAAATCACCTGGTACAAAAACTTTTTGAAACTACTATATACCGGTACATGTACATACAGTCAACTTCGCTTATAACGACACTCGGCGGGGCATCAAAAAGGTACTAGTATCCTTATTCGCGAAGTGTCGTTATACCCGAAGTCTCATTTTATGGATGGGACTTTGCTCTGGGCATGGAAATAATTCTGTCGTTATTCGCGAATTGTCGTTATATCCGCAGTCGTTATTGGCGAAGTTGACTGTACTCAGTCCATGCGCCAAGGGCCAAAAATGAGCCGAATCTTTATGCAAAATGAAGATGACGACGCCGCTTTTTTCGACTTTTTCTGTGACCAATTTTGAGCAGAATCACCATTTTGATCGTCGTAGTAGTAGTAGTAGTAGTAGTAGAATTTATTATTTTGATAGGGAAGGCCCTACAGACGTTGCCGTCTTGTTACAGGGAACCCTAAGTGCTCTTTACAGAGCGAAACAAAAACGGATAGATGCTCAACCTGACGACACGAGACAGGCAGAGAATTCCACCTATCAGCGCCAAGGAAAGAAATGGAGAACATGCCATATCTAGTGGTAGCAGCGGGCAAAGAAAGTGAAGAGAATGATTGCCCTCTAGTGCGCCTCTCGGTGCAAGTAGCAGCCGACTGGAGGGTGAACATTGAGGAAAGAAGAGGACTTGTAAGCTCGGATGAATACAGCGGAAAACAAAAATAAAAAGCCTCAAGTTGAGACGAGATTCGAGGGAGTATAACTTAGCGTGCCGCAAAACAAAGACAGTCGGGGTACGGCGAGGGAGACCAAAAACCTGTTTCATGCTGATATGACTTAAAGTAACAAGGCGAGAGTATAAAGATGGTGTAAGACAGTGAGCATACGAGTTGCTGGCGTATTCAATAGTGGATTGGATGAGGGATAAATAAAATATTCGCTTAGTTGTGTGATCTACTGTACGGCGGCAGCGGCGGAATGCTCCTATCTTCTTATAAACAGATGTACACACATGGTTGACTTGATCCTCAAAGGTGAGGTGTTGGTCAATAATGAGGCCAAGATAACGCGCTGTGGCAGAAGGTCGAATATCGACACCACCGCATTCGTCGTCGATTTGGCATGGAAGACTTTCATGAATGCTATTATAACTTGGCCTGCTGAGGGCTAGGATAGTCCCTAAACAAAATCTGGAAGCCGTTCCGCCAGAGATTTTTCCGTCATGTTGCAGCAGAGCCACTTTTCTCAATTTTGCGTCGTCCAGAATTTATGATTTTTGGATGCCAAAATACTTGATGGCGTGAGAACCAAAAAAGAACTACCGGACACCACCCAGACCTCAGGTATGTATAGTCCATTGTCCTAGGCTAGGGCTGCTCATAAAGCACATACCGGTACCCTGTTGTCCCGACAGAATTTCAAGTTGACGTCATTATTTATGACGCAATGCTCCTTGCAGCAGTGATTTACAACATGTGTACGGGTGTCAACGCATCACACGTTTTTCTTTGCAATAATTATTATTTGTACAGGATCGATCGGCTTCGATCAACCACAGGCACAGGTTCTGGATTAATTCGTCTGATAATCCGTGTACAGTGCGCATTGCATCATCAAAATGACGTCAACTAACTTGAAATTCTGTCGGGACAGCACCGATACGGGCCATAGTATACTGCCATAGTGGAGTTGCACACTCTGGGGGGTTATGTACTCTTGATAATACTGAGCGAGGTTGAAATTCGGCAAAAAGATTCGGCACGCGGGAGCGAGGTCGAAAATGCACGCGAAGATTCGGCATGTTTGTTCGGAAAAAGTTCACAATGCCGAAAATATTTTTCGGATGAATTTTCTGTAGAAGAGCGCTAGCTAGGCCGCTAGCGCGTGATTTATTCAAAGAGGTTTCTTATCTCGGCATCGCTTCCCAGGCGTCTTTGGCGACATCAGCGTCGTCAGCTACCTCTGATTGCTCCTCCACTGCTTGTCTACTCTCTTTCGCCTGGAGTGTCCTCACCGTCATCTGTGTGGCTGACAAGACTATGGCTGTGTTTACATGAGAAATTTCAACCCGGGTCGAGTTCAGCCCGGGTTGAAAGTCTGTACGATAGACAAAAGACGTGAGCGTTTACATGAAGACAGTTGACCCGGGTCAAATACTGATATGCCGCCAAAAGTCCACTTCTACAGTCCTGTATGGTCACGTGAATCCGTTCGCGCGAAATTTGCATCTGCAGTGCCGTTCAAACCTGGCGCGAGATACGCACAGAAGTACGTTTGTACGATTTTCTTGACCCGGGTTGATTTCAACCCTCCCCTTGGGGGGAGGGTTGAAATCAACCCGGGGCGAAATTTCAACCCGGGTCAAGCGCAATGCGTCGTGTAAACGCGCCATTCATTTTATGCACATGGCGGGTTGAAAGCTGACCCGGGTCGAACTCAACCCGGGTTGAAACGCCTCATGTAAACACCGCCTATGGCTGTGTTTACATCAGGGAGTAGTACAATACATGAAGCGTTTCAACCCGGGTTGAGTTCGACCCGGGTCAGATTTCAACCCCCCATGTGCACAAAGTGAATGGCGCGTTTACATGACGCACTGCGCTTGACCCGGGTTGAAATTTCGCCCCGGGTTGATTTCAACCCTCCCCCCAAGGGGAGGGTTGAAATCAACCCGGGTCAAGAAAATCGTACAAACGTACTTCTGTGCGTATCTCGCGCCAGGTTTGAACAGCACTGCAGATGCAAATTTCGCGCGAACGGATTCACGTGACCATACAGGACTCTAGAAGTGGACTTTTGGCGGCATATCAGTATTTGACCCGGGTCAACTGTCTTCATGTAAACGCTCACCTCTTTTGTCTATCTCATGTAAACACCGCCTAATAGCCCATTCACACGACGTGCAAACATTTGCACGCGTGTGACCAAGATAACACGGGCAAACCGTGATCCAGTTCACACGGTGCTGGGCAAACTTTGCAACCGTCAATGTATCCATAGTGACCCCCCCGAAAATGCCGGGAAATGTTAAATTTTGAATTTTCCTTTGTTCAAGCACTGCATTTGCAGTACGCACTTTCAACAACCGACACTTTTCCTGGCGTGCAAAGATAATCATGAGCAAAAGGGCCTCGGCCAAGATAAAAAATCTTTTGCTCGCGTGTGTCCAAGTTTATCGTATCCGAGTAAATGTCCTTGGAAACGGTACGATAAAAGTAAGTTTGCCCGTCGTGTGAATGGCCTATTAGGCGATACTCATACAATTCCCAATCGAACACGGTTGAGCAAGCGGTCACGTTCTCATGCGCACACCAGTCACCTGGTCACCATACATGTACCTGTAGGCTACAACTTTCACACCAAGGTTCAACTCGAGTGACAGGAACGCGCCCAAACAGGTTGTAAGTTGTAGCAAGAGTACATACACACATACAGGTTTTCATGTACTCTTGGTTGTAGCCCGCAGGCACGGTGACCAGGTGACTGGTGTACGCGCATGAGCATGTGACCGCTTACTCACCCATGTTCGATTGAGAATAAGGGCCGAACGCTGCATCGCAGCATTTTCGGACCAAAACCAGTCGACTATAGTCTGTTTCAAAAAGATTTACAATCAGGTTTGGGTCTTAAAAAGTATGAAGATAAGGGAAATTTGGACAACAAAGTACATAGAATGGCTTGTTAGGACACGGCAAATTGTTCTGTGAAGGTTTCGGAACAATTGGACCAACCGTTAAGGAGTTAGAATTTCGGCCAGGTTTCCGGCCTTTTCCCATGGTTTACAATTTGCCCAGGAAGCCAGTATCGATTTTTTATCAAAACCCACAATTTATCCTTTCCTTTTTGGCCTTGTGGTTATGAATGCTGTCTGCTGACCATGAAGTTGTGAGTTCAAATCCCAATCTATCCTCAAGTCAAACTTTTTTTCATTGTTTTGGTGATCAGGCTGGTACAAGACAAAGAAGATGTCTGCACCAAACGACTTGTTGTTGGAGGTCGCGCTTCCTGCCGAACTGACTGACACTTGACTGGCTCACGCCATGTGAACACACCCACAACACTGCAATGGTGTGAGTGAATATGGAAGTCATCGCGCTGTAGCTTTTTGAGATATATTTTTAGTATTTCAAGATCGCCAATTTATTTGAATTTAGCAGTCAACGCCGTCTTCTATCAGCGTTCACAAGTGTCTGTTTTTCTCAAAATGTCGTCGAAGTCACACGGATAGCTTTGCCAAGTCATTGCCTTGGGAATGAGTCCGTGTCGATGTCGTTTTCGTCACACGGTGAGTAAATTGCATCGCAGCTCAAAGAAACTATTTTGGTCACAAAACGGATTGGGACACATGCCGCTCGTCAACACTTTCGTTTCGACATGTCCTCTCTGATTCCATTATCGATACGAGGAAGAACTCGTTTGGTGTAAACCAGACGTACGTCCATGACTGTGTCAACGTGAGTGAGTTGTCATTTTTCCTGCTTTCGCGCGGAATATTTCTTCGAGTTCACAGTGAGTTTTTCCAGGCAGCGCTCGAGTGCTCATACGGTAAGACGCCAAACTCCGCGGGCGATCGCCAGGGTTGTAAATCTTTTTGAAACGGACTGTAAGGCTGTGTTTACATGAGAAATTTCAACCCGGGTCGAGTTCAGCCCGGGTTGAAAGTCTGTACGACAAACAAAAGAGGTGAGCGTTTACATGAACACAGTTGACCCGGGTCAAATACTGATATGATAGGGAGGGTTGAAATCAACCCGGGGCGAAATTTCAACCCGGGTCAAGCGCAATGCGTCATGTAAACGCGCCATTCGCTTTGTGCACATGGCCTATATATGGCGGGTTGAAATCTGACCCGGGTCGAACTCAACCCGGGTTGAAACGCCTCATGTAAACACAGTCTAAAAATAACTTATAAGTTATAACATGATAAGGCCAAACCAGGGAGTCGTATAGACCCGGGAGGCGACACGCGCATCACTTGTGCACAACCATGATCAGGGAGCCCTACACATACACATGTGTAGGGCTCCCTGACCATGA